TGCTCCTGTCCTCTGGACTATTGGCTATCCAGCAGCCAACACACCTTTTGGTGCCTCAAATGTTAGCCTTGTTTCTGGGTATATTTTCTGGGTATATTTGACCTGCTGATTCCAAAAATGGCACCAGTTTTCCCCTGTGAAGTTTAGTTTTTGAGATACAGAACATATGCCAATTACCAGTTGCCATCTGCCCACCCATAGAAAACCATGATAACCATACCTAGGAAACTTAAGCTGATGTGGTCTATCCAATGCAATTTTCTGTATCAGCACCTCAAATGACTCTAGGAACAGGCCTAAAAACCAAGGCACCCAGAACATTTTTGGGACTGTCTAATGTGGTGTTTCATAGTGTTCGTTGATAATTTATTACACTATGTAACAAAATTTGAAACTGTTTCCATTTCTGGTTTGAAAGTGTTATTTTCTAGGTTCTTGTGGGTTTTTTCGGGCTATAGAGCCATGTTCTGGAGGCATTTCTCCTGACGTTTCGCCTGCATCTATGGCAAGCATCCTCAGAGGTAGTGAGGTCTGTTGGAATTAGGACAATGGGTTTATATATCTGTGGAATGGCTGGGGTGGGGCAAAGAGCTCTTCCCTGCTGCAGTTAGGTGTGAATGTTTCAGCTGATCACCTTCATTAGCATTTGAAGGCCTGCCTGAGCCTGGGAAAATCTCTTGCTGGGAGGTGTTAATCTGTGCCTGGTTGTTTCCTCTCTGTTGTTTTGCTGTTGTAATTTTAGAGTTTTTTTTAATACTGGTAGCCAGATTTTGTTCATTTTCATGGTTTCCTCCTTTCTGTTGAAATTGTCCACATGCTTGTGGATTTCACTGGCTTCTCTGTGTAGTCTGACATGGTGGTTGTTGAGAGTGGTCCAGCATTTCTGTGTTCTCAAATAATATGCTGTGTCCAGGTTGGTTCATCAGGTGCTCTGCTATGGCTGACTTCTCTGGTTGAAGTAGTCTGCAGTGCCTTTCATGTTCCTTGATGAGTGTCTGGGCGCTGCGTTTGGTGGTCCCTATGTAGACTTGTCCACAGCTGCATGGTATACGGTAGACTCCTGCAGAGGTGAGAGGATCCCTCTTGTCCTCTGCTGAACGTAGCATTTGTTGGATTTTCTTGGTGGGTTTGTAGATTGTTTGTATGTTGTGTTTCCTCATCAGCTTCCCTATGCGGTCAGTGGTTCCCTTGATGTATGGCAGGAACACTTTTCCTCTGGGTGGATCTTCATCTTTACTCTCGTGGCTTGTTCTTGGTCTTGCAGCTCTTCTGATGTCTGAGGTGGAGGATCCATTGGCCTGGAGAGCCCAGTTGAGGTGGTTCAGTTCATCTTGGAGGAGGTGGGGTTCGCAGATTCTTTTTGCACGGTCTGCCAAGGCTTTAATGGTGCTTCTTTTTTTACTTGGGTGATGGTTGGAGTTTTTATGTAGATATCTATCTGTGTGTGGGGGTTTTCTGTGGACGGTGTGACTCAATTGTTGATCTGGTTTGCGGATGACTAGGACATCTAGAAAAGGCAGTCTTCCTTCATTTTCTTTTTCCATGGTGAACTGGATGTTTGGGTGGATGCTGTTAAGATGGTCCAGGAACCTGTTGAGTTCTTCTTCTCCATGTCTCCAAATGGTGAAGGTGTCATCCACATATCTGAACCATATAGTGGGCTTTTTGTTGCTGTTTCCAGGGCTTGTTTTTCAAAGTGTTCCATGTAGAAATTAGCTATGACCGGGCTGAGAGGGCTCCCCATAGCTACTCCATCTTTCTGTTCATAGAATTCATTGTCCCACTGAAAGTAACTGGTGGTGAGGCAATGGTGAAACAGAGCCGTGATGTCTTCTGGGAACCTCTGGTTGATGAGTGCCATGGTGTCTGCTACCGGGACCATGGTAAATAGAGATACCACATCGAAGCTGATCAGTTTGTCGTTGGTATTTAGCTTGAGATTGTTATTTTCTGTTTAGTACTTACTTTGAAAGTAGTTGTTATGCTCCAGAAACTTCATTTTTGGGTTCTTCCAAACAGGCCCTATATCCCAGGATCTGATCCCAAGTTTTCTGTTTATCCCAATTATTTGGCAGTTCAGATGCATATAGTACAATTTAAAACAGAAAACCTGGGATAAGATCCTGGGATATATTGTATGTAGGGCCTGTCTGGAAGGGCCCTTTGTGGCTGCCACAAACTATGTTGAATTAGTTGAGACTCTATGATATATTCATTGAAAAACCATAGCAAAATGTGTTGCAACATGTCTCGCAAAAACAGTTTTTGGAGTTTATTAAACCTTTTCCATGTTTTTATGATAGAACCAATTAGGGAAATTGGGGGGGAGGGGGGGATTTGGGGCAGGTCAAAAGGGACTCTTTGAGGCTCCGAGGTTTTTCTCCAGGTTCCTCTGAAGTGAATCACTCAGGGTGCAAAGCAACTATTGGCTCAGAGCAGGCCCGTAGCCAGGATTTTTGGGGGTGGGGGGGCTGAGTTTGGTTCGGGGGGGGGGGCTGAGTCTGAGTGAAAGAGGGTCTACCCTAGCAAACCTTTTGTATCGTTACCCCAGTACCCCCATGCATATGGGATATATTGAGTATGGTGATCAGATCATGATATGAATAAACATAACAGTTTAAATAATGCACCAGTAAGGCCTTTTCGCAACCACCATGAGAATTTCGGGGGGGGAGCTGAAGCCCCAAATCCCCCCCCCCCCCGCTACATGCCTGGCCGTACAGGAACGATACCTTGCCTATGTTGTTATTTCCTGTCACCAACTCAACTTCAACTTGTAGTCACACCATGAATGAGAGACCCCCCCCCCCCAACATCACCCTGTTACCAACAGCAATGTTCGGATCTTGCAAGGTCAGGGCCATGGCTTCTTTGAGTCATTCAATCTGGAGTGCTGGCTTCCTTTTTTCCTGCTGCCCTCCACTTTCCAGTGCAATATTGTCTTTTCTTGTCAGTCAAGATGCTCCAGCATAAGTTTAATTGTTTTGGCTTTTAGGGAAAGCTCAGGCTTGATTTGCCTTAAGGAACTATTTATTTGTCCTTTGAGCAGTCTAGATCAGTCATCACCACCATTCTAACATTTGTATTTAGTGATCTATTTTACACTTCAGGATCTTGTCTAGTTCCTTCATAGCATCTACAAAGGGTGCATCTACACTGTAGAATTAATGCAGTTTGACACCACTATCACAGCTCAGTGCTATAGAATATGGAAGTTGTACTTTTTTCATGGTCTTTAACCATCTCTGTCAAAGAGCACTGGGTACCTCACCAAATTACAAATCCAATGATTTCATAGCATTGAGCCATGCCAGTAAAATGGTGTTAAACTGCATTAAATCTACAGTGTAGACCAGTGGTTTCCAACTTTTTTTTGGACCAGGGAACACTTTGACTAGGGACCACTCCCCAACATTAGTACCAAAAGTTGATCAGTTTTTGGTCAACTTTAGATTTGGTTTGGTTATTTGGGATGCTGATTCAGAAAATTGCATTGGATAGACCACATCAGCTCTAGTTTCTGATAGAGAACATATGCCATCCAGTAGTCACCATCTGCTCACCCACAGAAAGCCATATTTAATCATGCTGCTGCATGGTTTTGAGGCAACGGTGTAGTAATGGTGAGGCCACGGACCATATTTTCGTTTTTTTCAGATCACGGATCACAGGTTGGGAACCACTGGTGTAGATGTAGTCTTAGTCTTCTGATTTCTTGACAGCCCTTTCCATTCTGAAGCGAGACACAACATGAGCAATCTTGAATTATTTCATCATCTACTTTAAAGTTACATAAATGGTCAGTGGTCATTATTTTTGTTTTCCTAATATTTAGATGTAAACTTGCATTTACATGTTATCCTTGTTTCTTTATTTGGAAAAAGTAAGCCTCCACAGGAAAGTCAGTGCTGACTAGTGGTTTGACCGTTGGATTAACACTTTGGGCTTCACATTCACTTCAGCCATCAAAATGTATTTGGGTAATCAACCTCCATCAACTTTAGAGGATGGTAATAGGAAAGCCCCTCTGAAGAAAATGGTTGTTGTTGATGATGATGATGATTATTATTATTTCAGGATTTAAAATAGCTCACTTAAAAGGGCACCAAATACAAAGGCTAAAAAGAGATAGAACAATAAAAATGTTTAAATCGATTTAGTCAAATCATTAAACACCCCTCCCCTCTCTAATATAAGAAACAGGAAAATCCGGCACATTGTTCAGGTGAGATGGTCCTTGTACAATCAGTCCTGAAATGTGCATTGAAACAGAAAAGTCTTTATTTGTCTATGAGAAGAGAGCAGGAAGGGTGCCAGTATAATTTCTCTGGGAAGTGAATGTCAAAACCCGGGAGCAGCCACTGAGAAGGCCCTCTCCTTTGTTCCCACCAGATGGACCTGTGAGGGTGGTTAGACAGAGAAAGCAGATTTTAAAGCAGGTTCATCAGCTATTTTAAATATTTGAAAGAAGTTCTCTGGTCAGTCATGGTAAACCAAATGTTAACTCTAATTGATATACTCCCTATCCCATCTCCAATCCTGTTATAACAGGAAGCTGACAGGGACACAAGAATTCTTCTAATTGGAAAAAAGCAATTTCACATCGCTAAACCTTGGTATAAAGAAAAAGTGGTGAAGATCTCAGTCTGGCTTACAATAAAATCATTTTTAAAATAACAATTATAACAATAATTTGAAGAGATTAAAATGTATAAGACAGTTTTTAATTAAAACCCAGATAACTTAAAAGTGGCTTACCTGCAGAAAGCCCCAGGTTTAGTTGCAGGCATCTCCAGGCCTAGCTGGAAGAAAGAGAGAGAGATAAAGGGGATGGCAGAGAAGGGAATAGGAAAGGAGATTCTGAGATTGCTTGTGGCTTCAGACTCTATCAATCACTGACATTGGGGAGATTTTCCTCAAGGACATGCAGCCCTTCATGGGGAAAATAAATTCTCACTCTAATATACCTTATATTTTCAGGAGGGTGAAGCCAACAGGTTCAACTGAGTGGCAGAGTTGTCAACTTAGGTTGTTCCTTCCTTCCTGGGACTGTTTTGTGCCAGCCTCAGTTTTTGCCTCTGTCACCGTGGCTCTCTTACAGCACACAGATACAGTCCTGTGTCACCAGCCTGAAGGTTCTCGAGGTGCAGGGCCATATTCTTCTTTCCACCTCCATGCCATTTCCCTTCCAACCAGTTCTTTGGGTCATGGCTGAACTCCTCAGTCCATTCATCGGTGAAATACTGCAAGGTCCCGAGGTGTTGCAGCTCTGTCTTTCCAGGCAGTTGACGATACCAATAGAAATCATAGGTCGAGGTTGTTGAATGTGAACACTTGAATGCAAGCTTCCCTCCATGTGAGAAGCTAGCAAACAGGGGCTCTTGGTTCACAATTGCAGAGGCACTGACCATTACAGCTGAAGGGAGAGAAAGAGCCAGATTAACTGAGAATTCTGGAAGAAAGTCCAACAGTCTGTGAGCAGAGTTAACCTTGGAAACTCAGGAAGAAAGGGTAAAAGTGGGATCGGGGGTTTCAGGATAGTAAAAGTACAATCCCAGCTTGTGACAAAGCACTTACCATACCAGACAACAAAGCAAGAGAATTGGGAGCAGAGTTCAAAGGCTCCAGAGCAGCACCAATGGAGTGCTACAGCCATGTCAGTCTTGCGCTGATACAGCAATAGGACACAAACTGGAAGCCTTATGATTTCTTGCAACACTTTTACGGAAGGTGCAGGTGTTGTGGGTGGATGGAGGAGGGGATAGGATGTGCTGCCCACATCAATGCAAGAGTAAGGATTGGATGAGCTCAGCCGGAAACAAGAGCAGAACCTGAGCTAGAGATGTGAAATCAAGAGACCATCCCTCCATATTTATTTTCTTCTCCTCTGTTGGATGTTTGCTAGCTGCCACGCCTGCTTCTTTGGCTACACATTATTTCAAAGAAGATATTATTTTCTGCTTCAAGATGTGTCTTCAAAATTCCTTTCTCCCTGGTTTAATGTACGGTATTGGATATGCTTACCATCACATTGCACAGATACGGAATTTGGCACTGGCTTTGAGAATTCTCTTGTTATTTTTACCAAATACATTTGCCATTCTTAGGATTGTATGGATAGACATGGAAATGTGCAGGTAATTCCTGGGATGTTGCAGAAACTCCTGGGATGTTAGGAATGCCACAAATAAATAGAGGTTTCCCCCACTTGTGGTTTGTGATAGCAGAATACATTTGTAGATTCAGTAAAAACATGTAAATGTGCTAGAGCCCCATGATATCTATAGTTTGCAAACTCTAGTTAACTGAGGTGGATTTTCTCCCCTCTTACATCTGGAAAATGCAAGTTACTGTTCCTGCTGAACCATGATATTTCCTAGTTGATCTCATGATTTTTTGTCTCATACTCCTCTGCTTGATTTCAAACTGTAGTCAGATGCACATAGGCTTGTGGTCATGAGTCCAGCCTTTTTATCTTTGTTGGCCTTGGGATGGTCCCTTCATCTCTGCACACTGGGCACAATATAATAAACTCTATATTTAGGTACAATGGTAGATACAGTATAATGTAAAGTCATGCTAGGATTTATGGGCACAGATCCTTGGCCTACATACAGGAGTGGCTGGCAGCTTTCATGTCAGTGGGGTGGTTAATCCACTTTACGTGTTCATCTGAAGACCACTTAATACAATGCAGTCCGAGCCCTACCACATGCACAATGGAGAACCTTGTTACTGTGACACCTGAGGCACTTGAAGTGGCCAGCTTCTGATGAAAGAAAATCTAGTACAATGCCAAGTTTTTAAACTTTGTTTGTGGTTTTATTATACACTAGCTGTCCCCTGCCATGCATTGCTGTGGCACAGTCTGTGTATATGTGTTTTATATGTGTGTATATATTTGTGTATGTGTGTTTTTGCGTATATATATGTGGTTCTGCGCATCCGTTGTAATGTAATTTTTGTTTTTTAAGTCTCTTCTGTTGTGTTTTCAGTGTTTTTATGAGAGATGGTCACTCATTGGCCTGATGTGTGTATTGTGTCCAAATTTGGTGTCAATTCATCCAGTGGATTGTATGGATGTTAATCACATAAACAAACATTATATTTTATTTATATAGATTATGACTGTATTCTCAATTTGCTTCTGACACAATAAACAAGTTTGAACATTAAGTGTGAGATCCATGACACTGAATCTACTTGAGGGATAGGAATCTGAGGATTCAACACCTCAGATAGTTCCTGAGAAGTTCACACTTAAAACCAGAGCAAACTTACAGCATTATTAAGGTGAACTTAACAGCCACCACTATCTGCTATCACCATGTAGTTTGTTTTCTTTCTAACATTCTTCTGAGTGTGCTGACAGAAGGTGGGTTTGAACAGTCCCAGTTTGTACATTGACTCTAACTAAGTTATCACACTGCCCACTTTAAAGACCTGGTGTGATAACGTGGTGATAGTAAGGTCAGTTCTACTATTGCACACTGTGTGGCAGCTGTCCCAGAGAGCAGGTTTTTGATGCCACAAATAGGTGGCAAAGTATTAGTTATTTTATTTTTCATTTGACTCTCAGTGATTGGATAAAATGTTTATAGCATTTCCTGCCTTATATGTCAATATAACTGTTTTTGGATATTGCACAAAGCAAACAAACCAGAGCAACAGGTGATAAAAATTATAAGTAATTGCTAAGTGCACATCTTTAATAACAAGGTTATTTAACACAATTTCAAAACTACCTTAACAAGAATATATATGCACATGCCTCTGCATGTGTGTGAGTAGTAAATGGTTATGTGCCAGTTTTTGCATTAAGTATCTATATTTAGATTACAGTGCATCTTGACTTGGGGCAAGGCTGCTATTTGCTGCCCTATTGGAGGGGATAAAATGTCATGGGATGGCCCTGAATGAGAGCTCAAGAACAGGCTTATGTGCTTCAAACATCTGGTTGAACATCTGGTTGAACATCTGACCCAATCATAGTGTGTGGGGAAATGTTAATGCCTCCTCCAAATGCTCAGCTAAGAGAACCAGTTGCCAATTGGTTCCTCTCTTCCAGGTGAATACAAAAACAGGGAATGGGACTTTCAACTTTATGATTCTGCTTGTGACCAAATCACAGGAGAAAAAGGCATATCCTATCTGTTCACAGTATTTACTAACCAATGCTTTTGAGACAATTCATCCCACAGTGATTTACTGAGAAATAGGAATCTAGATATGTGTGGACTTGCTTCAGGTGTAAGGACTATGGGACAATATTTAATTATTTAATTATTTAAAACATTTATATTCCGCCCTTCTTACCCCGAAGGGGACTCAGAGCGCAGCATATACACGGCAAACATTCAATGCCTGGATACAATACATAAACATTAAAAAACATTTATTGAAATATTAAAATACACCATTTGAAATAACACCATTTTAAAATAACTTCCCAAAAAGATATGTCAGAGGTAACAAGCATCTGTACAGGGCTGGCAGTACAAATGTGAATCCATTTATACTGAACTGTTGAGTGAATAAAAAGTAGTGGTTTCAGTGTGGTGAGGAAGATACTGATGCATCTTTATGACAGTGCAATGTGCCTTCTCACTCTAACACAGGGTGTTTACTTTGGCCCTCAGTTTTGTATGAGCTCTGCTTCTTGACTCTTTCACTATGTTCCTTGAAGCACAAAGATACAGCTCTGCCTTACTAGGCTGAAGATTCTGGAAGATTAGACTCATTCTTTCTCAATGTTTTAGTCATGTCCCTACCAGATGGTTCTTTAGAGTGGCATCAACAAGATCTTGCAGATAATCACTGTGAAAGTAGAGGCTTCCAAGCACCTGTAGCTCTATTTTTCCAAGCAGCTGGTGATACCAGAAGAAATTGTAGCCTGTGCCATTTACCAAGCACTTGATTCTAAGTGTCTCTTCTTGCACAAGGCTGGGTGATAGTGGTTCCTGGATTACTGTCACAGCAGAGTCACTACATAGTAAAGCTATAGGGAAAGAAACAGCCGAGTCAGCTAGGAAGGCAGAAGAAAAGCTCTGGAGACTCTAGCAGGCAATGAAAGATGGTACAAGTGAGTTTTGACACTTCAGAAAATGCCCAAGGGACTTAGGGATGGCAAAAGCCCAGCTGCCACCAAATTTGGTCCAGTGAATGAAAATACCTCCTGCATATCAGATATTTACATTATGATTCATAACAGTAGCAAAATTACAGTTATGAAGTAGCAACAAAAATAATTTTATGGTGGGGTCACCACAACATGAGGACCTATATTAAGGGGTTGCAGCATTTGGAAGGCTGAGAAATAATGTAATCTATAATGTGTGTGTGACATGTTTGTGCAGGTGTTTGGGCAGATGAAGGAGGAAACAGGATGTCCTGCTCATACGAAGACATTAGGCTGCTTTTCCTACTAGGGTTTCTCAGCAAGAAAACTAGAAGAGAACCGGGGCCTCAGGACTTTCACCTTGCTTTTGTTCCCCTTCCTGGGGATAATTTTGCCTCTTCTGAAACAGGCTGTGGAAGGCTGGTTTTTTTACATACAGGCAGCTACACAAGAAAGTATCAAGGTGTACCTAGCAGTTTCAAAGAATATAGTTTTCAAAGAATATATTGTTTCCCTGTAATATTTGACCCCAGACAAAGGCTTTAAGTGCTCAGTTTTTCACCATCACATCACACTAATATGGAATTTGGCACAAGGCACAGTTTTATCCATTATAAAAATTTATATTTTGTGTGTCTATGGACTAGTCTTTAGCTCTAGAATGATACATTTGAAAATACATTAACAAGTCCTATGAGCTCAGAAGTATCTGGAGAAGATATTGTGAAGCTTTTCTCCAGTGGTTATGAATCGCAATCCCACATGCTATACCTTATATTCAGTTTGGAAACATGCCTTTGTTGAACTACAGCTCTACTGGCTTATTGGCTAGGGGGTTGGGGGAGTTTTATCTATTCTTCCCAATTTTCTTAACTCTGCGTGTTTTAATTCAAGTTACTGGACTCCCTTTCTGTTTACAGTCCTAGCAGCCAACAAGGTATCATTAAGGTTTCTAATGTAAGCAGATGATGCTGGTGGTAATGTAAGCAAGATATTATAAGTTTACACTGGCAAAACAACATCTGATTATTTTTTACCTAGGAAAACCTTATGAAATTGATGCAGTTGCCATATGTTGACAGGTGCCTTGAAGGCACACATACACACAATATAAACCTGCTTCACCTCAATGTTGCACAAGATTGTCTTCCTGAGGCTGCACTAGTTCTTAACCAGTGTCTGAGAGCTGTGGCGGTCTGGATGAGGGCTAACTACCTGAAGCTTAATCCAGGCAAGACAGAGGTCTTCCTGGTCAGTCGCAAGGCCAATCAGGTTATAGGATTGCAACTTGTGCTGGATGAAGTAATACTGATCCTGAAGTCACAGGTCTCTGGCTTGGGGGTCCTTCTGAACTCAGCACTGACCCTAGAAGCCCTGGCGTCAGTGGTGGCCAGGAGGGCCCTTGCACAATTAAAACTTGTGCATCAACTGTGCCCGTACTTGAAGAGCTAGATCTAGCCACAGTGGTCTATGCCTTGGTTACATCCCGGATAGATTACTGCAATGCACTCTACATGGGGGTTACCTCTGAAGATGGCTCAGAAGCTACAACTTGTGCAAAAATCTGCAGCATAGCTACTAACAGGAGATGATTACAGGGAACATACCACTCCACTGCTAAAACAGCTCCAGTGTCTGCCTGTTTGTTTCTGGGCCCAATTCAAAGTGCAGGTCATAACCTATAAAGTCCTACATGGTTCAGATCCAGCTTATTTGATGAATTGCATCCCCCTTATGAATCAGCTTGAGCCCTGAGGTCTGCAGGAGAGGCCTTCCTCTTGGTCCCTCCCCCAATCGCACCCAAAATAGCAAGAGTGGTTATTGTAGATATTGATGTTATGTTATTATATGTTTTCAGTAATTGCAATAGTTCTGTTTTAAGTTCTGTTAATTTGACATAGGTACTATTTTTTGTATTGTTTTAACTTGTGTGAGACCTCACAACCTCTGAGGATGCCTGCCATAGATGCAGGCGAAACATCAGGAGAAAATGCTTCTAGATCATGGCCACACATCCCAAAAAACCTACAACAACCCAAAGAATCTCTTATTTGCAAGCTCTCCAGTGTTTTGATTTTGATTTTGGAAAAAAGTTTGTAATCCTTAGAAGTACAAAGATTGACTTTAATCTTTCAATCTGCAGGATGATGTTGAAGGAAGGGGTCCTACTCAGTACTCCTCCCATTTCCATAGAAATGAACTGTAAGGTAAAAGTAGTTCCTGTGGAATCTTAGAAGCTACCTTGTCCCTATGAAAGGATTAATAGTTTTTCCAGATAGACAAGAACCTGAGACCTTGGATTTCTTTTTAACTAGTTATGTATTGTTTCCAAAGGGAGGGTACATATATATCATACTTGCTTGGGCTGAATACCTGCTCTCTGGTTCCAGATATTTGTAGGCTCAATATAAGGGAAACTCCCACTTAGAAAAACTAAACTCAGAGGTGCCTTTGCTCTCTTTCTGTTTTAAGTGGGGCAAGAGAATTATTACGACCTGGTCTGTTACTTGGCTCAGGTATTTCTTATACCTCTTCAGAAAGCAATGGCTTCAGTCAAACCTCTGGGCACACAAATCTGTGCTTGAATTACTGGCATGTAGTTTAAAGCAGGCAGAACTGCCTGTGGCTGACTGATATAGTAACAGAAAGGCAGTCTATTTGCCTTTAGAGGCCTTTTCATTCATTGGGACCTCACAATGCTTGGATTAAAGAATGAGGCTCCAGCGCTGAGTCTTATCACAGACCTTAGGTATCTGTGAATGTCAGATCGAGGAATGGATACACTTTGGATGAAGTGACAGTCTTGGGTCTCAGAGCAGTAAGTGAATGAAACCATGCTGAAGACTTGAATAGCAGAAGTGATATTAAACAAAAGATATAAACAGGACAGCCTAAGGTAGTTTGCATGTATTTAACTGTGCCCACAGGAATACCAGAATTTGGTATGCCCACAGGAATATCAGAATATTTATGGCAGAAATAGAGCCAGATGATGATGTTGTTGATGATTGTGTGTAAGCGTGGATAATCTCTGGAGTGTCTGAGTGAGGGGCCAGGAAGCCAGAAGTAATGCTGTGAGTGGAGGAACTATAGTTTAGAAATAGGTGGTGAGATTCACATTTTGTAAACAAAAGGGGCACCGGATCTGGAATAAAGCCTAAGCAAACAATCTTTAAAGATACTTTGGGAGTTCCTTGTTTTTACTGGGCTGTCTAGTAAGTAAACGACGCTGGCTTCAGTAACTCTGTGTGGAGTACAGGATGCTGGTATGTTTCTGACTCACAAAATATGCCTTCTCAACCACAAGCAGGGTGTTGATTCTTGTTTTGGAGCATTTCCAATTCCTGCCTCTCTCGTGGTGCTGCCCCTTGCAGAACACAAAAGCAGCTATGTGTCACTAAACTGAAGATTTTGGCGGTGCAGGGTCATATTTTTCTTGTTGTCACCCCAGATGGTTCTTCAGGGAGCAGTATGACACTTGGGTCAGCTCAGCATCAAAACACTTGCGGGACCTTAAGTGTTGTAGTTCTGTCTTTCGTGGAAGCTTGCAATAACAGATGAAATGATAGTTTAAGTCTCCAGGTTAGGAGTACAGTAATCCCTTGTTACTTCACGGTTCACTTTTCGCAGACTTGCTGTTTCACGGGTTTTCAATAAATATTAATGTAAAATATTTATTGCGATATTTTCATTGTTTTACAGGTCTTTGCAGTACTCAGTAAAACAACAATCTTGTATGCAGCTACTCCTCTCTGCTCTTCCATTTCATGTTAGCATCAGACAGTTGTGTGTGCATAGTAGGACTAAGGCCAAGCAACTTTATGATCGCATGGCAGAGAAAATGGAGGACCAAGATGGTGGTTTGATTAATTTTAGAAGCACTGTGGACTTAAGAGCGTTTGCCTGTATGGAGAGGCTGCCTCTGCTGATAAAGTTGGAGCTGAGGATTATGTAAACAACATGTTCAAGGAGGGTTATATAGTGTATAAGTGTGTGGGGAAGGTTTATCAAGACTTAAAATAGTGTATTACTGCTAAAATAATGTATAAATATTAAAATAAATATAGTGTTCCTACTTCATGGATTTTCACTTTTCGCGGGTGGTCCTGGAACATAACAGCTGTGATAAATGAGGGAACACTGTAATTGCGAAGAAGTTCCTTCCTTCACAAAAAGCTGTGCAACAGAGGTTACTGGACTATGGTCACAGCAATGGAGCCAAGTCCTACAAATCTGAAGGAGAAGAAAACAGGCAAATCAGTTGGGAATGATGGAGAAGAGTGTTGGAGACTGGGAATAAAATGAAGAGGTGTACAAAAATACTGCTGAGACATGGGATGAAATTATGGCAGCAGCACCTTTTGCCCCCATTTCAAAGCATATCCCATACCCCATGCATTTCAAAGCACATATCATACCTGGGAATAAAGGAGAGCAGGGAACAAAGTTCAAAGACTCCAAAATAGGACTGAATGAGTTCTGCAGCCATACCAGTTTGATAGTGACAGAATAACAGGATATAAACCAGACTCTACTAGATTTCCTTGTGATGTTGCATGCACAACATTACAGGTGTCTTGGGCAGATGGAGAAGGAGACAGGATGTCCTTCCCACATGGAGACAACAATAAACACTTTCTAATTAGATGAGCTCAGCAAGAAGTGTAAGGGAGCTATCCTCCTCTGATTAATGTTTAGCTTCCCCGGAAAAGTTGGGGACTAGCTAATGGATTGTATCTATGGTTAGTGTTAAAGAATAGACCTTCCCTTCTCCTCTGGGGTTTCTTCAAAATCTTTAATGCTGAAATGTGTTCTACACCTGATCTTAGAAGCTAAGCGGGGTCAGTTAATATTTGGATGGGAGACGGCTAATGCATACCAAGTGCTGTAGGCTGTATTGCAGAGAAGGGAACTGGCAAAATCTTCTCTGAGCACTTCTGGCCTAAGAAAACTCTATGAAATTAATGGGGTCTTCATAAGTTGGTAGGTGACTTGAAGTCAAATACTCACATATCACAGAAATATGGAATTGTAGATTGCATCCATTATGAAACTCTTTAGAAATGTGTTTCTAGATCTTAGGATTGCAAATACTGGTTTCAAAGGACCTGGTTCTCATGTTCTATGTGGAGTGGCTTAAAGAGCTGGATATGTTTAGCCTAAGTGGCGTAAAGAGCTGGATATGTTTAGCCTAAGGTTGAGAGGAGATGTGATAGCCATGTATAAATATGTGAAAGGATGCCATAAGGAGGAGGGCATAGGATTATACTCTGCAACCCTGGCTACTAGGACTCGGAGTAATGGGTTCAAATTGCAGGTAAAGAGATTCTACCTAAACATTAGGAAGAACTTCCTGACTGTAAGAGCTGTTTTACACTAGAGCTCAGTGCGCTGGAGTGTGGTGGAGGCTCCTTCTTGAGAGGTTTTTAAACAGAGGCTGGATGGCCATCTGTCAGGAGTGCTTTAATTGTGCTTTTCCTGTTTGGCAGGGGGTTGGACTGGATGATCCATGTGGTACCTTCCAATTCTATGGTTCTGTGATCACACTACACTGCTAGTGTGCTATATTTCACTTAATTCCCATGACAGCAACCTGTGGAATCCTGTGCATGTGCAGAAACTTGGTATATAAATAAAAATATTAATAGTCCATATTTGTATAGGATTTTCAAGTGCTCAGACCAAGCCTTTTGTATTCTCTAGGAGAAATCTTTACAATAATGCTATGAGAAGTTCATTTTGTTATTTTGCAGATATTGCTTCCTAAATCTTAAAAATAGCTTGCCTCATGAATCCCTCCCTAACAGAGGTGAAATTCAAGCCTTGAAGACAAAGTGCTCTAGTTTGTGGTCCTACATCTTCTGACTGTAGTGGGGGGAGTTATGACTATTTGTAGGAGTTCACAAAAACCTGTCCACTGCTTGGGGACTTCAATATCTTCTGATAGACTGAAAATCTGAATGGGGTATTTCAGGTCAAATCTCCCAGAATAAAGATCCAGATGCCTTCCCAAGACCCACACCATAATTCTTTTGAGGTGGTTCATTGCAGTGTGAGTTACTAAGAGATGCTTAATCTAGTGATGTATATGCATGCATCTGGTGTGTAAAGGCCATTGGACAGCTCTAAAAGATATGAGGTCAGAGATAATCAGCAGTTGCAGAGTGCTACCAATATGAGAACGAAGCCATTTTTATCTGAGCTGTTTAGTATATGGGAGATAATGGTTTTAAAGTACCTTGCATGTGGGCATGGATAGTTCTAATGCACCTTTAGGCAGTCTTCTCAACTGCTCTTGAGCTTTTTTGGGCATGCCTTTCTGGTGCTCAGTTTCTGCATCAGCCCCAGTTCCTGCCTTTCTCACTGTGTCCCTTACAGCACACATATACAGCCCCACATCACCAGGCTGCAGATCTTTAAAGTGCAGGCTCATCTTTTTCTTGCTGTCATCCAGCCATTTCCCAGTCAGCTTGCCCTCCAGAATGGTGTCAATCTCTGTTAACTTGTCATTATAAAAATAAAGATTCCCAAGGACTTGGAGCTCTATCTTCCCAGGCTGTTGACGATACCAGAAAAAATGGTAGCTTCCGCTCTCTGAGTGTGAGCAGTTGAACTGAAGCTCCTTCCCTTGAGAGAAACTGGCAAATGGTGGTTCCTGAATCACGGTCATAGCAGGTACCCTGCCCACTAAAGCTGAAAGGAGGGAAAGAGTTGTGTCATTTCGGAAGGCTAGAAGAGAGAGACTGTGGATAGAATAAGCCATTGGGAGATCAGTGAAAAGCATCAGTGCATGATACAAGAGAAGAAAGAAGAAGGTTGATGATAGAGAAAGGGAGCCCTGGGTTTTTTCAGTCTACTTACACCACAAGACAATGAGGGAGAAGAAGGGGTGAAATTCACATGTTCCACGGCAGGACTGTATGGATACTGCAGCCATCTGATTTTGATGCTGGTTACGCCAATGCTAAAGGAACCAGAAGTTGCTTGATTTCCTGTGAGGAGTGTGCAACAAGGTTGCAGGTGTTGTGGGTGGGAGGAAAAGAAGAAGAGAGACAGGATATGCTGCCCACACAGTGTTTTAACAGATATCTTCCGATTGGATGAGCTCAGCAGGAAGTTACGAGGTGAACTTGAGTAGAGATTAGACTGAGATCGTCTTCCAACACCTCTTTTGCTCCTTTTCTTGCAGCAAAATCTCAGTTCTTCCAAAAGGGACTGTTGGAGGGTGGTGGCTTTGCTCATCATGGCTGGATCTACACTGCCATATAATCCACTTCAAAGCAGATAATCTGGATTCAGAAACTGGATTATCTAGTAGTGAAGATGGGCTCTTGTTTCTTGGATGATAAACAGTTTTGGGGAAAATAATAATGGCTAGAATCCAGTTGTTTGTCACAACAAAGCAGACACACTAAAGCAATGACAGGCAGTCCCCAAGTTATGAACAACATAGGTTTTGTAGGTTTGTTCTTAAGATGAATGTGTATGTAAGCTATAACAGGTACATTTTAAGAGTAACTCCAGCCAATAGATAGACAGATAGACAGACAGACAGATAGATAGATAGACAGAAGCTTTGGATAGAACAGAATAGGGATAACACCCCTGTAGTGTTTGTGTTGCTGTTTGTGCCCCTGTTAAAAAGATTTAACCTCATTTTCTGTCCCTGTGATAATTGGATTTTGAAAAAAAAATGAATTGTTGTGGAAACCACAACAATTCAAGTGGAAGACAGCTTTTCTCCATGATAATTCTGTCAAGAGCGAATTTCCCCTCCAAGGGGTAGATTTCTCACACTTGTTTCACCACCATTCTTAACGATGAGTCGTTTGTAAGTTGGATGTTTGTAACTCAGGGACTGCCTGTATTAACTCTCAAGTAAATTTCATTAATTCAGTCGTCCTGCTTTAGGAGGGCCCAACAGTGGGATTTAAAATGATCTCTGCTACAGACGTCAATTCAGAATTTTGAAACCAGAGTGCATGCTGTTTATATTCTCTGCTTCTATCACCCTGCTAAGCAAATAAGGAATGTAATTTAGTACTAGATGTGGGGTGTGTAAAACAGCCTTTGGGAGAGCTTTTTATGTATCAGCACAAGAAACTGGGAAGATGCTGGGATGGTTTGATCTTGGCATTTAGTACTAAAGCAGGCTTTGTTCCTGTCTTTCTCACTGGGTCCCTTGCAAAAGACAGGTACTGTGCTGGTTACCTAGGCTAAAGACCTTTGTCGTGTAGGCTAAATTCTCCATCCCTTTTCACTTATCAGATGACTCATTAGAGCGGAGTCGGTACTGGCCACATTATCAGTGTGATATCAGTACAGGCAGTTCCCAAGTTACAAACATCCAACTTCCAAATGACTCACAGTTACAAATGGGGGTGAGACAACAGGAAGCGAGAGAAATCTACCCCAAGGAAGGAAAATCGACTCCTGGAAGAGTTATTATGGGGGAGAGGTGTCTTCACTAAGCTTTATCACTAATCTTTGTTTCCACAGCAAGCCATTTTTTTTTCCAAAATTCAATTGTAACAGAGACAGAAAGTGAGGCCAGAACGTCTGAACAGCTTTGGATGGCATAGGGAAAGGTTAAAAACCCCTTGGAGCTTGTTTTGCTGCCACTGCCCATTTTGAGAAGATAGATAGCTAGACAGACAGACAGACAGATAGCTAGATGGAGTTGCACTAAAAATGTACCTGTTCTGACTTCCAAAAAATTCAGCTTAAGAACAACCCACAGAACCTATCTTGTTTGTAGCCTGGGGACTGCCTGCATTTGCTTGTGGATAAAAAGTGAAGGAAAGATAGACTTCACTGTGACAATCGTGGGGATCCAGAGCAAGACAACTGAGTGTGCACTCTAGTCTCGAATGAACAAAGAGCTGTGAAACAATGTGCATATATATCGCATAGCCACTATAGCTGTGTATTTAAGAAGTTGGGGTGCTCACTGGAATTCTTGTATATTTATGGTTGATATCTAGAAGGGTGACAATGTTGTTGCTGTATTTGGTGGGTGCCCAACTTGTCTGTGCATTGGCAGCGATGCTGTGGTTTTTGGAAACAGAAGGTGCAGCGTGGCTGGGGCAAGATTTAAGCAAACCACCCTCAATTACCCTGTGCCAGCATCTGGGTAGTACTTTTAATGCGAAGCTATTTTTACTGAGCTGACAAGAACATACAATGGCAGCTTCAGTTTATCTAACAAATGAAGTGGAAGCTGGTGCATGATTGTGACATTGAGAAATATGTCTTCTGTCACACACGGGATCAGGGCCATAGCCGGGGGTGGGTGGGTTAAGGAACCTTGTTCACTCATGAATTTTAACTGGTTAAACAATATACGAGTAAACCAGGTTTCTTTTTTTAACTTGACACATTTCAGGGCAGGGTTGAACTTTTACCCCCCCCCCCTTTTTCTGGCTACTGCCCTGCACAGGGTGTCTGTTCTCTGCACTCTGTTTTGTGCCAGCCCCAGTTCCTGCCTCTCTCACTGTGTCCTTTGCAGCACACAGATACAGGCCTGTGTCACTAGGCTGAAGGCTTTGGAGATACAGGTTCATTTTTTCCTTGGCACCATTCAGCCATTCCCCACTCAGCCGGTTGTCAAGAGTGGAGTCAACATCAGCAAGTTGGTTTTCATAACTGTAGAGGTTCCCGAGCACTTGTAGCTCTATCTTCCCAGGCAGCTGGCGATACCAGAGGAAACTGTAACCTGGGCTACTTACAGAACATTTGATTATAAGCTTCTCCTTTTGCAAAACGCTGGTCAATAATGGTTCCTGGGTCACTGTCACAGTAGAGTCGCTACCTGGTAAGGCTATGGGGAGAGAAACAAGTCAGCTGGGAAGGAGGAAAAAAGTTTTGGAGACTATGGATGATTGAGCTAAAGGAAATCAGTGTGATAGGCTATAAGGGTAAGAATTAGAGTTATCTATGGAGAGATGGTAGTGTCCTTAAAGCCACTTACCACCCAAGATGAGAAAAAGGTAGAAGAGAGAGCCAGGTATAAATTCTCTGTAACAGGAACAAATAAGTGCTGTAGCCATGGCCTTCACCTGACACTGAAATAGCAAAGAGGAAATGTTTTCCTTGCCTGTGAAGAGTTCGCAAGAAGGTGTTGTGGTTGGTGGAGGAGGAGACAGGATGTCCTGCCTGCGCAGAGGGGCAGTAGGAGTCTTTTCCTGTTGGATGAGCTCAGCAAGAAGATCAGAGCACAGCAGTCTGAGCTGAGATGGGAGTTTAGTAGCGGGTCTTCCCTCTTCTCTTTTGCTCCCCTTCCTGTGGTGGCTTTCAGTCTCCCTCAAATGGGTAGCTGCTTCCTTGGTTATAAATTGTTACAACTGCTTCCATGGTTATAAATACTTTCAGGGAAGATGATATGCTCTGTTTCAGTTGCTTCTTGAAAATCTTTGAAGCCCAAGTGAGAGCCGCATTTATTCTATGTTTCTACCTCACCTTGCATAAATGAGGGTTTTTGCCTTGGGGTAAGATTTCTACATCTAAAAATCACCAATTTTATGACATTTTCAATGAAAGTGTTTCTAGTCCTTAAGTTTGAAAAGGTAGGTTTGAATATGTGTGGGCATTACATGTCAAATATCTAAAACTCCTGTCCTCAGCAAGAAGGTAGAGGAACAGTTTCCCATAGCTAGAAATAGTTTGCATTGTTTTTTGTATGCTGCCCCGTGGCCAGCAAAAGCTTAATGAAGACATGCAAACATATTCTCAGTTCACTGCTGTTATGTGCTTTCCAAGTCCTTTCTGACCTTTGGCAGAATGGACTTGGAAGGCAAACCTATCATGGGATTTTCTGAGGCAGAGTGTGCATGACTCACCCAAAGTTTCTATGGCTAAGTGGGGAATTGAATCCTGGTCTCTAGGATCATAGTTCAACGCTTAAATAACTACAACATTATTTCTCAGTTCGTAGCATATCTCTTGTAATACCATATTTGCTACTGAGTTCTTATTGATTTGAAAAAGAGCTTGAATACAGGAACTGCACATTCCCATCCAGTGTGGAGCAAGAGGTAAGTTAGACTAGGAGTCCCAAGTTCAAATGCTTCTTGGCCACAAAGCATACCTTGTGACATGACCAGAAAACAAAGTTTTGGAGTACAAATGTCAGATTCTTCTACATCAGTGGTTCTCAACCTGTGGGTCCCCAAATGTTTTGGCCTTCAGCTCCCAAAAATACTAACAGCTGGTAAACTGGTTGGGATTTCTGGGAGTTGTAGGCCAAAACATCTGGGGACCCACAGGTTGTGAACCATTGCTCTACCTAATCAATGTGGCGAGAGAGTTTTACATTCACACACACTGCTCATGATTTCCATGTCTAATACTGAAAATGGCTTTGTACAATGAAAAGCATAATAAACGTCATGAGCAGGGCTCTAATGATTATGATGATGACTATGATGGCAGTTGAACTCTGAAATAATAATAATAGTAATAATAATTTTATTTTATTTATTTATTGTGTCGGGGCAACCTGACAATTTCATTTCATTTCTAACAGAACAGAACAAAACAAACAAACAAACAAACAAACAAACAGACAAAACACAAAATTTGCAAGCAAGCTTGGTAGTTGATTAAATGTCCTTTGACCAGTAGCTGGCCACTTGGAGTGCCTCCGATGTTGCCGCAGGAAGGTCCTCCATTGTGCATGTAGCAGGGCTCAGGTTGCATTGCAGAGATGGTCAGCGGTTTGCTCTTCTCCACACTCGCATGTCGTGGATTCCACTTTGTAGCCCCATTTCTTAAGGTTGGCTCTGCATCTCATGGTGCCAGAGTACAGTCTGTTCAGCGCCTTCCAAGTTGCCCAGTCTTCTGTGTGCCCAGGAGGGAGGCTCTCATTTGGTATCAGTCATTGGTTGAGGTTCTGGGTTTGAGCCTGCCACTTTTGGACTCTCACTTGCTGAGGTGTTCCAGCGAGTGTCTCTGTAGATCTTAGAAAACTATTTCTTGATTTAAGTCATTGACGTGCTGGCTGATACCCAAACAAGGGATGAGCTGGAGATGTCACTGCTTGGTCCTTTCATTATTGGCTGCTACTTCTTGGCGGATGTCAGGTGGTGCAATACCAGCTAGACAGTGTAATTTCTCCAGTGGTGTAGGGCGCAGACACCCTGTGATAATGCGGCATGTCTCATTAAGAGCCACATCCACTGTTTTAGCGTGGTGAGATGTGTTCCACACTGGGCATGCATACTCAGCAGCAGAGTAGCATAGCGCAAGGGCAGATGTCTTCACTGTGTCTGGTTGTGATCCCCAGGTTGTGCCAGTCAGCTTTCGTATGATATTGTTTCTAGCACCCACTTTTTGCTTGATATTCAGGCAGTGCTTCTTGTAGATGATAATAATAATAATAATAATAATAATAATAATAATAATAATAATAATGTATTATCTGACTCTCCTTGCAGCTCAAGGTGGGGTACAACACTGTCAAAACAGATAGATAAAACATGATTAAAATATAACACCCCCTCATTCAACCACTGAGCTGCTGAATTTGCTGACCAAAAGATTGGTGGTTCAAATTCAGGGAATGGGGTGAGCTCCTGCTGTTACTCCCAGCTTCTGCCAACCTAGCAGTTCAAAACATGCAAATGTGAGTAGATCAATAGGTACCCCATCTGCGGGAAGGTAATGGCACTCCATGCAGTCAGGCCAGCCACATGACCTTGGAGGCATCTATGGACAATGCCGGTTCTTCAACTTAGAAATGGAAATGAGTACCACCCCCTGGAGTTGTACATGACTAGACTTAATGTCAGGGGAAACCTTTACTAATATGATACACAGAGTTAAAATGCAGGTTGAAGATAACTGATTAATTAGTAATAAACAGTAATATAGGACCCTGGACAAAGCAGTACACTGTGCCCTGCCTACACAATCACTCACAGGACTAAAAAGAGAGGGAAAAGGAAGGGGAGATTACGCCCCTTGCCCCCTTCTTTTTCCCAACTATGCCCCGTATTACAAAAGTCATAATGCACTCCATCCCCAATTTTTTTTCAGTACCCCCCCCCCCCCCAACATCTGGAGAGGGGAGGAGCGCAAAGAAGCTGAGAAGTAGGAGTGGGAAGATGTGAAATATGGAATAGGAAGCAAAGTGTATGTCTTTTTTTAAGCAATAAAATCAGTAAAATTTATCTCGCAAATGCAGACATGCCAACTATCCGCTGCAAGTTGTCGTTTTTCTTCTTCTGAGTTGGCAGGAGAATTGAAAGTTGAAGTGGGTAATCAGGAAATTCTGTTGAATTCTGGTTTGTACATAAATTAGCATGGAGCTTCTATGCTTGTGGAGCTCCCAGGCAATCACCCATGAGTTCAGCTCTTCATTGTTTTCCAACACCAGTGTTTTTGAGCCTTTGTGCTGAGTCCCCTGTATCCTGAAATGTTAGATTATTAATGTCTCTGTGTGAATGTAAAAGCAAAATTGGTTATGTAGCCCTCCAGATCAGTGATTGCCAAACCCTGGCCCTCCAGGTGTTTTGAACTTCAGCACCCAGAAGCCTCAGCCACTTTGGACAGAGATTCTGGGAGCTGAGGTCCAAATCACCTGGAGGACTAGAGTTTGGTAATCTAGATGGTTTCAGAGTTGAACTGCCATCATCCTTTACCTTAAACTTTCCAAAGTAGGCCAGGGATAAGAGAGTTGTGATCTCACAACATCCAGAAGACACTTTTCTAACAGTGTGCATATGTGAGAGAGGGAGGGGGATATATATAGAGAGAGTTGTTATTACATGTGGCTCTGTGTGTAGAGGCAGCTGCAGCCACCACAGGGAGCAATCTGAAGCTGCACGCTTGCAAATGGCTGTTTTGTGCGTGTCAGCCCTTTCTCTCTCTCTGTCTTACCTTTCCCTCTCCCTGAGCTGTCAAATGCTCCAATAACAATGACAGATGTTTCTTGGTCTATTAGCATTATTATTATTAATCGCTAGTAAAATCCCCATTGGGCTCATTGACAGCCATGATGGCAGAGAGCAGCCAAATCCACACCCCCATCCAACTATTCTAGAGCTTAGAAAAGTTGATTTTGGGAAGCAGAATCTCACATAATCACCCTGCCAGGGCAGCCAGTAACATCATCAAGCTGTGTACAGCTAGATTATGAATTTCTAGTACAATTTGAGCTCTGTCTTGTTCTCTAGGTCTGGTTGCATGCTCCTTTCATCAGGGTTTTGGATGATAGCATGCAGAATGCAAGGAAAAATCAACACTCTTGCCAAGCTTTCCTTGAAATGGCAAATGGCCACATCACCTCTGTACCTTATTTGGCTTCCAAACCTTTTACCGTTTTGGTTGCTATCCTTTGGATACTTTCAGCTTTTCAATATCTTTCTTGATGTGGTGTCCAGAACTGTTTTCCATGTGAGGAAACTGAATAGGGTAGTACTACTACTTTCCTTGGTCTAGGAACTATACTTCTGTTGATGCAGCCTAGAATCATATTGGCTCTTTTAGCAGCCCTAGTATGAAATCACCTGCTTGCTGGGGGATTCTGGGAGCTGTAATGAAAAAGGTAACTTTTCCAGGATTTTCATGAATCTTACCTCATTTCTACCACTCTTGCTATTTTTAGGTAATGGTTAACCTGGTGGCGCAGCGGGTTAAACCACTGAGCTGCTGAACTTGCTGACTGAAAGGTTGACGGTTTGAATCTGGGAAGCGGGTTGTGCTCCTGCTGTTAGCCTCAGCTCCTGCCAACCTAGCAGTTCAAAAACATGCAAATGTGAGTAGATCAATAGGTGCAGCCCTGGTAAGAAGATATAGGTGCTCCATGCAGTCTGCCAGCGACATAATCTTAGAGGTGTCCACAGACAATGCCAGCTCTTTGGCTTACAAAAAGGGGATGAGCACCACCCCCCAGAGTTGGACACGACTAGACTTAATGTCAAGGAGAAACCTTTATCTTTACTTACCCCAGAAAGATAGTGTACTATAGTGGTTTGAGTGGACTACAAGGGACCAAGCTTTCCAAGGCTCTACCACGGAAACCAACCAAGGGACCTTGAGCAAGACACACTCTTCCAACATT